TTTCTTTCTTTCTTCCATGGACTTAAGAAGCATGTAGTATTTTCATCTTCATCTTGTAGATGAGAAAACTGAGACACAAAAGAGCTCATTAGCCTAAAATCTTACAGCTGGTAAGGGATTCTGTCTCCTGAGAGTGGGTAGGTAGCACCTATGTAGTCCACTCTTTCTTCAGGTTTATTTTGCCTATTACAATAATCCACACTGAGTCAAGGAATTTGTGGAGAATTGGACATGTTCTCCTATTCTATTCTATTCTATTCTATTCTATTCTATTCTATTCTATTCTATTCCATTCCATTCCATTCCATTCCATCCTATTCTATCCTATTCTATCCTATCCTATCCTATCTTATCCTATCCTATCCTATCCTATCCTATGCTATCCTATCCCATCCCATCCCATCCCATCCCATCCCATCCCATCCTATCCTATCCTATCGATTGCCAGCTCCTACGGGAGCATGGAGAGACTTTAGCTTTAACTGGCATGGCCCAGCTGTTCCCCTCACTGAGTCCCTCCTCCTTACAACTCCTCCTTTGCCATGCCCTTGACTCCTAAACCCCTCTTCTCCTATCCTACCCTTCTCCCGGATGTTCCACCATACCTGTCCTCTTAGACTCACGAGTCTTTTCTTGAGAGGGTTTGGGTTGCAAATAGGTGGAGAAGAAAGGTGAAGAGAATATTCCTTTGCAAGAGTCAAACCAACTATAAGGCAATCTGGACCCTAACAGGCTCCCCTCCCCCATACTCTTTGGTATTGTTAAGCTAAAAGGGTTTCCATTTCTTTTCTGTGCTTTGAATTGTAGTATAAAAGGCTTCCTTCCTTTTTCCTAATTTACTATATGCCTGGCCGACAAAGGAAGTGGGAAAGTTTTAGGACCCAGGTAGGAGGTCAGGGTAGAGAAACTCCTTATCCCGTAACTATGTAAAATCAATAAATGTACAACCATTCCTTTAAAATTTTGGGTGAAGGCAGAGCAGGAACTGAGCCTGACATGCTTAGCCACCTGGTCGTGACTGAAGTAAGGATCCGAAGTGCTGGCACCCAAGAATAAAGCTTTAACAGAAGCTGCTTGAAATTCTTGTGATATGACATGCATGAAGCTCCTAGTTCTGGTTACGGGAATGTGCAAGTTGTTCAAGATACTACAGTTACTGATAGGAAGATGATAATAATGATGTTGGTGGTGATTATCCTTGGGATTCCCATGTCAAGGAAGTTTCCATTAGAGCACACCAGTAGTTCCTTAGGGCTGTGTTCTCAGGAAGAGAGGCTTCCAGAGGAGGTAGAACCCGTTGTTGCAAAGGACTCTGAACTGATGGCCTGCGTTTGTGCAGAGGTAACATGATCAAGACACCACGTTGCTTCAGCACCCATCCCAGGATTCTCCATTAGCACTTGGGCAGAACAGAGTGGCTCTTCTGTTGTATGAACTGTAAAGCTCCTTAGAGTCTTATTCTCTCTCCAGAATTATCTGCTTCTATTAAATAGCTATCTCACAAACTTTATGATCTGTTAAGCCCTCATTTATTTGTAATTTCAAGTATGCGCTCTGTTTTCACTCCTCTGTGCTTTCTGCATGCTTTTTTCTGAATCTTGAACACTCATTTCTATCACTGCTACCTGCCATTGTTCCCATGGAAAATTACAATTAAACTTAAAATATTTTTTTAATGTTTATTTTTGAGAGAGGGAGAAAGACAGAGTGCGAGTGGAGGAAGGGCAGAGAGAGAGGGAGACACAGAATCTGAAGCAGGTTCCAGGCTCTGAGCTGTCAGTGCAGGGCCTGACGTGGGGCTTGAACGCACAGACTGTGAGATCATGACCTGAGCCTACCTAAGTCGGACACTTAGCCAACTGAGCCACACAGGCACCCCACAACTAGACTTTAAAACTTATTCTGGAATCACCTTTTCTGAGAAGTTTCTCTTGAACTCCTTTCCCCACCCTCCATGACCAAAAGAACTAATTCTGCCCTATATTATTTAATACTTTGTGTATGATCATGTTATTAAATATAGTGTAGTGTATATCTATTTGTTTTAATTCTTGTCCTCCATGAAAGTCAATGAACTTACCGGGGTAGATGGAGTTTTATGAAGCACAAAACTAGAAACAATTGCCTGGACTGAGTTTGTGAGCCTGTTTCTCAGGTATACATTTAGATTCTTGGGACTAGTGAGCATGTCTATTACAATAGCCCCTAATTCCTGCTTCCATAAAGAGTTGTCTGAGTGACTGTAGAATAAAGACTAGATGTAGATATGACATTGATGGAAGATGGGCTGGCTATCTCTGTCTGCTAAAGTGATAAGATATTTTATTTTCTATGATTTTCTGAGCTTTTCTAGTTCTCTGCAACAAACATGTGTTTCTTTTATATCAGGGAAACAATAAAATTCTAAGGTATCCCTTCTAGGGATTTTTCCTATAGGGAGAAAATTCTTATTTTATTTTATAGATTATGTCAGACATTGTTGGTTGACCAACCCAATACGTATTGCCAACTCCTTTCTCTCTTGACCTCATTTTATATGGAGGTTAGAGGAGCTAAATATTCAATTTCCCAGAGTCCTTTGCAGCTAGAGTAGATACATGGATATCACACTGTTGGAGTGTGGCCAGGTCATTCCTCCCTTGAGTACATATGTGATGTCTGGAGCTAAGAGCTCCAAAAGCATAAAAATAAAAAGCAAATACTCAGCTTAGGTGTGAGAAAAGATAGAAAGAGCTTGAGTCTTTCTTCAGTGTCAGTCATTTAGCCACTGCCCCAGCCGTGTTTTTCTACCTCCAGAAGTCTTGTTATGTTGGGAAAATATCTATATCATTTAAGATACTAGTAGTTAGTTTTTTTGCATTTTCAGCCAAAGATAATCCTCACAGATACAGCTGTGTATAAAACTTTGTATACAATGATATCTTTGAGTGTTATTTGAAAAGGTACGAAGTGAAAAAGAAAAATCTAATGGGAAATTAGTTTTTATTTTTTTATTTTTTTAATGTTTATTTTCAACACAGAGAGAGACAGCATCAGCGGGGGAGGGGCAGACAGAGAGGGAGACAAAATCCAAAGCAGGCTCCAGGGGCTCGAACCCACAGACCACGAGATCATAACCTGAGCTGAAATCAGACGCTCAACCAACTGAGCCACCCAGGCATCCCTGGGAAATTAGTTTTTAAAACTATGAAGCCAAATAATCAGCTTTTAAAAATAAATTCTTAGAAGATACAAATCACTTAAATAAGTCTTTATGATATATTACTAAGTTTGAAAAAGCAGGTTAAAATTTATATAGAAAATATCTCTGATTTGTTTAAAATATATGCCTATGCATAGTAAAAAACTTCATACACTGTTAATTGTCTTTGTTTCTGGGTATTTGGTCCACAGTGATCTTTATGTTATTAATTTATAAATTTCCATATTTTCCAAATGTACTTCAGTTTACATACATTGTTTTTCAATTAAGTAAATTATATTAAATGTTATTGCTAAGATAAAAAATACCACAGAACTGACACCTGGAATGTGGACAAGTTTGCCATGTGGCCGGTATCAGGTGAATTGAATGGTAATTGGGAAAAAAATGGAAATTGGGTTAAAATATTCTGCATTTTACTAGAGTTGCATCCATGCCAACATTGATAAAAACAGCCAATGATACTTTAGAGATATAATGGGATGTTAGATCTGCAAAAACAATAGATGCTTCCATTCACTGTTGAATTAAAAGTGAGTTAAAATCCATTAACAGTGAAATGGAGTCTTACTCTGCCTTTATTCTTCTTCGTGACCCCCTCTGAATGATTCAGACAATGGGCAAGAAGCCCATATAAATGCATTGTTTTTGTTTTCTCTTTGAGTTTTGTCCACCTTAGGTGTTTGGTTTCCTAAAAGGCTTTCTCAGTGGCTGCCAAGAGGCATTGGGATCCACAACCTGGAAACCCAATCTCGGGACCCAAGGCATCTTTTAGAAAGAGGCAAATGGCAACCTCAGTCTCAAAACGATGAAACGGGAACCGTAGAGAGTAAAGAGAAGATCTTAATGTCAAAATGTAGGAATTTGTTCTACTGTGCCACTTGGAGGCTGTGTGAACTGAGGCAAATCTTTTCCTCTCTCTGGGCTCCAGTTTCTTCATCTGCAAAACGGGTTGCTACTTCCTCACAGTATTTCTGAGAGTACTGACAGGAAGAGTGTCCACATGTAATGCACATTGTTATGTCAGTAGTTTTGGGAAATGAATATGTTAGTAACTCCTACAAAACCGAAGCATTTTGAGATTTTATTAAAGCCCCAATTAAACAAGGGTCACTAACGGGGGCGGGGGGGGAGACACAGGACCGACACCCCCGTAGGGCAGCGTTCTGTGAATCAAATCATTGGAAACGCCTTCGGTTTTACTAGGTGAAGGGTTGTTGTGGCTCACTTCAACCACAAAGGTTCCAAGAGGTTGAGTTCCTGCTAAATTGTTTTGGAGCCTGAAAGGGGATTTATATCCTAAGTGGTTTTCCACTTAATGGGGTATCCAGAGCCAGCCCACTCAAAATTATAACTTGTACCCACTTCATTTTCAAAAGCATCTCGGTTCTATATCACTCAAATCTATTCTATCCAGACTGTGTACATAGAAAGTGCTAGTGGAAATGCCAAACAGCAATTGGCTAATGTGGTGGTTAGCTAGCACAATCTACTAATGTTTTCTCTGTTTAGATAGATTATGGAGAGTATTTTTGTAATAATATGAAGAAAATGTCTTTTAAAAAGCTATGCCCTCGATGGAAAGAGAAAATAAAGGCATTTGTCGTTACTATTTGTTTTTCATTTGTTTTGTTCTGTTTTCCTTTAAGTGTGATTATCCTTGAAAGTCTAAGAGTTTCTGTTTCACCCAGCATAGTAGAGCCATTTCCAAGGTGTTTTGAGCATAAAGAATGACAGGCTTTGAGCTCTCTCCCTCCATTTCTCTCAATAAGTATTTTGCTTATATCTTAGGTACTTTTCTTCTCTTCCTGAAGAGAAATATCTAGAAGAAGTGATTGGCCACCTTTGCAAATGTGCCTTGGACCAGCCATGGGTGTCCGAGATGTATCCTACTCAATAAGGTAACAGCAGTGACATTATTGGTAGTTTTAATATTAATAGTAATAAAAATGTCATCTACTCTGAGGGCTATATAGGTGCCAGTCTAATGACATGTGTTATCTAATTTAACCCATACATATAAGAAGCCTATGAGGGAGGTACAATGAAATAAACTGAAACATGTATATAGGTTCAGTAATTTGCATAAGGTGACCCTCAGTATGTGGCCGAGACAAGATTCAGTCAAGCTGTCTGGCTACAGAGCCCATACTCAAGAGACAACACGGATAATCCTGTTTCCCAAGCCCATGGCTTTCTTCTATCCAGAGTGACTACCTGCATGTTGGGAAGAGAAGATGCACATATCCACTTGTGCATTCAGACTTCCTTGACCTCATCAGAAAGGGTTGCAAGGCAATGGTCTGTCTGTGGACAAAATGCTCGTGGAGTCAGGAGGTCATGAACCCTGTCCACTGAGAGTTCATGATGTCATATTACCAGGGCTCCACAGAATCACAGAGCTGGAAGAGGCTTACAGGATACGATGGGCCTTCATTGTTTTTTGCTTACCCAGTATCCATTACACTTTCTTTTGGAAATTATACTTTCCTTTCCTCTTGAGGAATAACCTCTTGAGTAGTTACAGTCTGGTTTTCCAGTTAATGCATAATCTAATCAAAAGGCTGCGTACATGGCCCAAGAGATGAGGTACATCAGATGTTCCCTTTCTGGAATTTGAGTATGAGTTAGCATGATGAAAATACTGAACGAACATAGCTGGAGCTTGCATTCATTCCAGAGATGGTAACTGGAGCCTGAATCCCATACCAACTCATTGGCCTCTCTTTACTCCTGTGCATCCACTTCTGTGAATTAGCCTTTCAATAAAATTTTCTTGAGGTCCCCAAATTCTAGAGCCTGTTTGTGACTTTCATCTAAAACACCCCAACCATCATATAAGCCATGAGTTAAAACTTTTAGAAAACACACGAGTCATCTACCCAGTATTTCAGGTATTCCGGCTTTCATTTCATTGAAGAAATGTTTATATAATAGTCTTATATGTCAAAGCTCTACTCTGGGTACTTTGTAGATAGAAATGCACTGAATATCTCCAGAGTTGGAGGAAATAACTATTTTATGAAGCTACTCTTTCATTCTCGTGTGGAGGCTCATGTTGCAGGACAAGCATTTCTTATCTGGCTAAAATCTGTTTCCTTGTTCTTTCTACCTTGTGACCCATGTCCTGCCATTTTCCATGCAGAATAATGCCAAATATGCTCTCCTTTTGACCCCTTGTTTTTATGTAGCCAGTTGTAGATTTAGACATGTGGATAAACTACTCACAAAGACTAACTCTAGTGTAAGTCCTGAACCTCTAACTTGTATGTCTTCTGAGTTAAAGGATTGTCCCTCTTCTGCTACCTTTGTCTAGCATACAACAATCAAGAATATTGCATTAGGGAATTCATAAAATCCTAATGAAAAAAACAGAAGTTCCATTTTATTTAAATTCTATCACTGTCAATAAAAAAGAGAGTCTCGAGGCTTTATATCTTCAAGTCCTTTTCATGTAATATCATCAGTTACCCACATCCATGCATTATATTCATTCATGAATTTATTCATTCAATAAATATTTATTGGGTATATATGCCAGGTGCAAGACAGAGTGCTAGGGTGTAAAATGATAAATCAGACATGGGCATCTAACATCCAGATTAAAAAATAAAAAATAAAACATCTATTTACTTAGTGTATATGGAACCAGTACCCAGACAATTGTTTTTTGTTGTTGTTGTTTATTTTACTTGTTGTTTGTTCATGTTTTCCCCTCCATCTAACTCTTTGATGCTATGGAGACACAGCTAGTGAAGGTGTAATTCTTGGAAAAAGGAGAATGGATGAACATACTATTTCAAAGCACAAGAAGGGGTACCTGGGTGGCTCAGTCGGTTAAGTGTTCAACTCTTGGTTTCAACTGAGGTCGTGATCCCATTGTTTGTGAGTTCAAGCCCCACATCAGGCTCTGTACTGACAGCCCAGAGCCTGCTTTGGATTCTCTCTCTCTCTCTCTCTCCCTCTCTCTGCTCCTCCCCTGCTCACTTGCACACACTCTCTCACTCCTTCAAAAGAAATAAATCAACTTTTTTTAAAAAAATTAAAAACTAAAAGCACAAGAAGAAGCTTTTTCTTATTCCTGAAGGATCTCCCATGATTACTCCATAAGAATTAGAGATTCTTCTCCAGAACTGGTTTTAATCTTTATTTGTTCCTGCTCTGAAATTAGCTTTGAGAATATAGGTGTAACACTTTTATAGAAACCTCCAAGCACAGCAAAAACAATCAAAGCACAGCAAGATGAAGAGGAGAGGAAAGAAGAAGGCAGGAGGAGTAGGAGAAAGAATTTTAACTGTTTGTGTTAGTATTGCCAGCGATATCCCATTGTCTGTGCCTATTTACTGCTCACATACCACCAAGAGATGATGATAGCAGATACTTTAAAACACACCGGTGGTAAGATTGGTATAAGAATACTGTTTATAAGAGATGCCCATGTGAATATCTCATCTCTCTTTTGATTTAAGTTTTTGATGTTTATTTATTTTTGAGAGACAGAGAGAGACAGAGGACGAGCGGGGGAGGGGCAGAGAGAGAGGGAGACACAGAATCCGAAGCAGGCTCCAGGCTCTGAGCTGTCAGCACAGAGCCTGACATAAGGCTTGAACCCACAAACTGCGAGATCATGACCTGAGCCGAAGTCGGATGTTTAGCTGACTCAGCCACCCAGGTCCCCCACCTCTCTTTAGATTTTAGAGGACAGCCTATATAATATCTTGTGTCAGACAATTTGACAGGTCAATGTACATGAAAGCATGTGCCCACTTCCCTACCCTCCAGTCTATTCTAAAGAGAGAAGGTAGATCAGCTCTGGTTCAGATTTGATGTGTTGGGGAAGGCTCTCACCATTGCACTTTAAACATCGTTTATTTTTCTTTCCTCTGCAGAGTTGTAAGTCAGTTATTTGCTCTTTTTCTTAATTAAGGATTGTATTCCCCAGAACTTTCTATATCCATCCTTCCTCCATGCCCAAGTTTCAGTTAAATAATACCAGTCCCCAAAGGTTAGCGGTATGGTAGAATGGAAGAGGCAGTGCCGAAAACATTGTATCCACTGCCAGACAGCCCACAATATTCACAGAGTTCAGGTGAACTTGTTTTTATGCATGAAGAACAGTCATTCTTGTCAAGTATTTGATGACATTAGCACACGCTCGATCCAAAGATCAGGGCTGGACAACAGAGTAGAGGAGAAAGGTCAAGTGCAGTGGAGGGTTTTAACTGGTTTGGTTTCCGGCTTCTCTTTCCCTCATGGACCTACCTATGTCAGGCCTCGAGGGAAGAAGAGACTATAACAAAGAGGAATGAGCATCTCCATTAGATGTGAAGGACCCAAAGCAAGACTTCTTTGTATCGTACATGTGTTGTCACCAGAAATAGATCTGACAGAAACCCAGTACTACTTGAACTTATAGGTAGGTGATGCATATAACAGTAGAAAATTGCCCTCTAAATTCAGCCAGACCTGGGTCTGAATTAAAGCTCTTGGTTCTCACTCTGTGGCTGTGTCCCCTGCAGCATGTTATTCTTTGTTGTCCTCATCTAAGAAATGGGGTCAGAGTCACAAGTCATAGGTGGTTGTGAGGACTTGTGTGAGGTGTGTGAGGATTACATGTGCAGAGGGAAGGGCTTTTCTTCCTTCTTTAGCCTATTCTCTTCTTTCAATCTGTAAGAACAGTAATGATTTCAACTCATCTTGTCTTTAAAAAAAAAACAATTAGTTATCCTGTGACTTTTGGTTTAGAACCAACATGCAGACCAATCGATATGAGGGAAATTGGGTGATTTATAGTATACTCGATACCCACATTATGAATGGTAATATCCCAAAGGTTCATTTGTATGGAAGTCATTTACCATGTTCCAAGCACTGAGCAGATGCTAATTGCTGGGTGCCTTCCAGATTAGAATGGCATCTGGCATTTGAGCAGTTCCTAATGCAGCTTTGTCCATTCTCCTGGTGCCCATCACAACAGCGAACAAGGCTAAAGTTCGCCCTTTCTAAAATTAAGACTTAAATTTTGAAAGGATTCATAATAATTTTAAATTCAATGGAATATATTGTCATACAATTTAAAAAAAAAAAAACACCTCTACCTGGTCTCCAGCAAATAGTTTTAATTCATGTTCAAAGTGTGCTTCAGAGAAGATTGGAAGAAAATTCTCTCATCTTAGACTATTCTCCTGATAAAGACACTCGGGTTTCTAGAAAATTAAAACTAGACAAGTACACTTCTAATGCATGAGCACTGACTCCACTCCCCCACCCAGGTAATCAGTTATCATTCTCTTCTCTTCCATCTATGCCTTCTATCCCCAAAGAATACAGTCAAGCAGAAAGTGTCAAGACTTTGGGAAGAAGGTTTTGGAAGTATGATAGTCAATAGTAAGCAGTGAAAACAAATACAAAAAATATGTAGAAGCAGTGAATTTTGGAGATTAGACAGAACATGTTATGTATGCAGTAGAGATGGAAAGGTTCCCGGTTTGATAAAATAGAGGCATGTTACCTAAACACGTTACCTAAATATCTTACAGAAACCAGAAAATGGGTTGGGGGCCTTGCCTATCACTCCAGTTGTGGATTGGGAGATGGAAATCTGGTTGTAGACAAACAGCTAGCAGAATTAGGGAAATTTACCCATTACTGGCAAACACCTGGTCTGCAGATACCTTGCTTCATCCAAGTCTGAGTGAAGAGTATTAAGAAAATATTAGGCATATAAAATTGTAAAAAAGAGGGACAAATATAAGAACATGTTTCCAAAAATGAAATCTTGTAACCCAAAAGAAAATTTTTAAAATGAATACGGAATCAAATACACCAAGAAAAAGAACAGTGTCTTATTAACTAGGAGAACATTTTACAGAAGAAAAGTAGCCTGAAATAAAAGAAAAGC